AGTTCTTGTTATATTTAAAGTTATTCTTAATTTTAAAGTTCGTTTATAAAGATTTAATTAGTTTCATATTTTTAATTAAGTTCTTATAATAGAATATCGAATGAAACTTTTGAAATCCATTTATTTTCTAAATTGTTTGGATTATTTTAATTAATAGATTAAAAAATTAAGAATATTTCTAAAACAGACAAATTTATATTAACAGTACTAAAAATTTGTTTAAATTAACAAATATTTATTTTATTATTACTAGTAAACGCATTTAAATTTACAATTTTTTATTTATTCATTAAATATTTTTCATATAAATTTTCCATATTTTATTTTCTAAAAAAATCAACTTTAATATTTTCAAGTTAAATAATATTATTACTATTATTCAAATAATCCAAAAAGCTTTAAATTTAAATAAATTCTTCCTAATCCCATAAAAAATACTCAATTTTCTAAAAAAACTTTAATCAATTCCTAATAAACCTATCTAAGTTATTATTTATTCGAGTTATTATTTGTTACAAAGTCCTAATTAGCAATTACGCTTGAAGGTTTTTATAAATTAATTAATTGTTATACAATTACAAACAAGTATATTTTCAAAAGATTTAATTAAAACTTAAAGTTGACCTCTTATTTAATTTTCTAATAGAGTATAAGTCTAAAAAGAATAATAAAAACTATTTTCTAAGTTTAAATTTTCTTATAATAATAAATTTTCAAAATTTTAAATTTAATATTTGAACTCATCTTCATTTTATTTTTTTAAGAAATTAATAAAATCGTTTTCGTTTTATAAAAATATTTAATTTTTATGTAATTTAATACGTATTTTTTCATAAAAAAGTATAATTTAAATTTCAAAATTTAATGATATTTTTTCATTTTCATATTCTTTTTTTAATTATTTTCTTGTAATAATTATTCTTTAACTAATTCTACCTTTTTTTATTATTAATTTGAATTTTATATTTAAATTGAGCTTTAATTTTAAATATTTTAATTTTAAGTTAATTTTTTTAATTCAAGTTATTTATTTTCTTAAATATTATTAGATAAATCTTAAAATTTATTAATTTAAGAAACAGTTCCAAAAGCAACTACACATTTTGCTAATCCTTAGCTTTTTTATTCTTTTGTTTATTTGATTTCTACATTTTCATTATTTAAAATAACTAATAATTATTAATTAGCACTTTCATTTAACCAAGTTTAATTAAATTAATTATTGTCTTCATTAAGAACACTTTTTGGAATTTAATTTAAACTAATTTTAGCTAAGCCAATTAATTTTTTTTAGTTTTTAGAAAAGTCCCAAAACTCTACAATAAGTAGAAATTTATTCATTTTTTATATACTTTCTAAATTCAAAGGTATTATTATTTTATGGGCATTTACCATATCTATTAAATTAGAACTTTAAACATATTCTTGTGTGTTATAAACTTTATATTAAGCCAATACATTTTCATATTTTTATTAGTTTAACAGTTAAATACTCTATATTTCGAAAAGAAGATAGAATTAAAAATTCTGAATTACTTTAGGAATTTATTTAATTTACTAAATAGATTCTTAAATATAATTTGTATTTTTCAAACTTATGGATAATTTTAATATGCCGAAATCTTTTCTTTAATTATCACTTTAGTTTTATTATAATTTTAAATGAAATAATGCTTTGAAAGTATCACATTCAATTAGTTATTATGTATTTATTATTCCAAATGCATAATTTTACTTTTATTTATTTATAGAATAATATTATATATATTACTTATTATATAAATATATTTACATAGTGATCATTTAAATGAAAATAAAAGTTGTTATCAATAATTATTTTTAAATTTGGAGGAATAATTTATATATCATAAATAAAACTTTTATTAAACTAAAAATACTCATCATGTCTTTTGTTGCAAAATGCCATTCTTTTTTTTATTTAAAATACATAAAAGGTTTTTATTTACTTTACGTTTAATTTGATAAATTTAATGAATTTGTTTAAATTAAAATACTTTCTGGTAATTTAATATTTATAAATATATTTTTCTCTTCTTAATTGTTATAAAATTATTTATCAAAGCATTCTAAACTAAATATTTTTATTTATAATTAATTCATTTTATATAGTATATTTTTATTTTATTATAAGAAATTAGATAAGTTTTGAGAAAAATTTTAATTTTATTATTGCATTAGTATAACTTAATTTTTTTATTAAAAAAATTGTTGTTATGATTAATATAATTCTTCTTTTATTTTTTTATGTTTATATTTTTCAATGCTTTTTTATAATTCTATTTTTTACTAATTTATTTTTTCATCTTTGAATTAATTCATCATTTGATCAGCTAAATTACTTATTTAATTCAATTTAATACTTATATTTTAGATATTATTTTATAAAGACTTTTGATTTTATATCTCATAATTTGATTATTCTATTTATTAAATTTATTTATTTTCCTACTAAAGATTATTTATTTGTAAAATATTTTGATTATTAGGATATTAAGTAAATTATGTATAGTCATCTTAATTAAAATATATTTATTACTAAAATGTTTAATTTTATAAGTTATATTATTAATAGTTAGAAGATATTAAATTGTTAATAAATACATCATTTTAATTTTATAAAATATTTTATTATTATTATTATTATTAAGATAGTAAATTAGTATTAAAACGATCATTCAAGTTAATAATATGTTAAATGTTATCTTATAATAATATATAATTAGTGTCATTATTATTATTATTATTATTATTATTATTATTATTATTATTAATTTATTAATATTATTTATATAATTAATATTATTAAATATTATTAGTATTATTTTTTATATTATTATTAATATTTTTAATATTATTATATTATTAATATTACTAATTTTATTATTAATTTTAATATTGTTTATATTATTAATATTTTTAACATTATTTTTATTATTTTTATTTATTTAATCATCAATTTTATTTTGCAACTTTTTTTTATTATAATTATACTATTCATTTTAATTTAAATCATCTTTATAATCTATTTAATTATGTAAATTTATATTTTTATTTTATTATTATATCAATTCAAAATGATTATTCTATTATTTTTTTATATCATTATTTTTATAGTTTATAATACTTTAGTTTTATTAGTTTTAATTTTAATTAAATAATTTTTTTTTATTATTACTATTTTAATCATTTTCTTCTTACTTTTATTATGTTTTTTCAAAACTATCATTTACTTATTATAAATTATTTTTTTTAATATAATCATTAAAATTATATAATTTATTATTATTTTCTATTAATGTATTTGCAATCCTATTATCATGATTTATTTATTTTCTATTTTTTATTTAATTAACTTTGTCTTACTCTTTTTTCAGGTTTTCATTAAAATTTTCTTATTTTTTTTCGTTTAATATTTTTTAAGCTAAAAATGACAACTTGGTATCAAAATAATTATTTATTTTAACATATATACTACCAATTATTTAATTTTAATTATTTATATTACATGATAATATTTTGAAGTTTCCATTTAAATTTTTAAAAAGATGATTTTCATTTATGTTAATACTTTATATTATAAAATTTTTTTTAAAAAAAAAATGCATATGTTAGAAAAAGTTTATATTAATATTTTTATTACTTGCTTGGTAAAAATTAATCAAATTGTATTTTTATTTATCCTAAATTATGTTCTTTTTCATCAATTATATATAAATTCAAACTTTTCATATCTAATAAATATTATTTAAATTATTATATATGGCATTTAATTTGAAATTTCTAAGAACTTTTATAATTTTACGAGATATTTATATAATTTTAAGGAATTAATATATGGGGTGCTCTTTTTTCACCATAAAATAAAAATTTAACTTTTAAAGGTTAATCATTGCGATATATATTCAAATAATTTATTTTTCCTATTTTTATTTCTAATTCCCCAAACTAATAATCACTAATTTAATCAAGTCCTGGTGGTAAAACTTATATTTATAAATTTATATTAAAAATTAAAATTATTTTTTATAAATACCAGGATTTTAATTTAAATTCATTTTTTAATTTTTGTTATACAAATTAGAAAATTTATTTATTTTTATTTTCCTTAAAAAAATAAAACAATTAAATAATAAAATTAAATTTTAACTAGGTAAATATTTTAAAAAATATTAAAAATGATAAATATTTATTATAATTTGAAATTTATTTACAATATTATTATTTTTAATAATTTTTATATTTTTTATTATTAAAAATTGTATCAAACATATTTATTTTAATAATAATAATATATAATTTATTAAATATTTCATATTTATTATAATTTTTTATATAAGAATTATCGAGAAATTTTTTTTAAAAAAAAATGAAAATATATTATATAGCAAAAATATTTATTTTATATTATTAAACAATAATAAAAAAATGCATTTTTTAATCAATCTCATTTATTTTTAATATTTCATATAAAACTAATATTTTAAATTAAAATTTAAAATTATAATATAAAAAACAAATATTAAAAAATTAATAATAACAAAAACAAAATAGAGATAAATATATAAACTAAAACAATATAAAAGAAATCCTAAATGAAAATTGAAAGATCTATTGAGTTTTCAGATTCTTAAATAAAGTTTTAAAATAAAAATATTAACTTTCTATTATTTTCTCCCAAAAAAATAAGCATTGAGGCTTAAAAGGACGGAAAAATTAACTAAAAATATATAACTAATTTATACGAAGAAATCGATTGTAATAGTGTAGATTTGAAAACTAATATAAAAAGGTTCGATTAAATGATTAAAATTAGGTAAATGTAAGAATAAAAGATAATGTTAAGCCCGAAAAATTCTACTGTAAGAATGGATCAACTAAGTAGTATAAAAGTTAAACCAAAATCTTAAACAATTCAACGTAGTTCGTATAAATTAATAAAACTAAATAGTTTATATTAAGAATAGAAACTATCTAAAATTATGGTATAAGATATTTTATTAAAGTTAAGTTTAAGAAGTATTCTTATAGTCCATACATTTATAAAAAAGCTAAAATAATAAATAGGATTTAGATATATTAAACAAAACATAATTAAATTAATAGATGATTAATCTTATTTTTTTATTCATAATACGCCAAAATAAAAATTATTAAAGTTTCCATTTGCAATAAAAAAATATATTTATTTTTTTAAAAGTATAAAATAACTTCAAGAAATTTCACTAAATGTTCTATAATATTTTTAATCTATTCTTAATTCAATAAAACTATTTGACCCTTCTTCAAATTATGTAGTTATTTTTAATATTATTTTGTTCTTATTTACTGTTGTTTCGTTATTTTATATTCCTTTAGAAATAATAAACGGAAATATTTATGATATAAAATATGGTTCTGCTTGGAAAATATTCAAGTTAATTAATTGTATTGCATTCATTTTAGATATTAGTATTAAATTTAATACTGGATAATTTGAAAAGGGAGCAATAATTTTAGATAGAAAATAAATAGCTAAAAATTACATTTATAATGGATTTTTTTATGATACTTTTTCAGTAATTCCTGCCTTTTAGTCTTTATTAGATTTCGAATAAAGTCGAATTTTTAATATTTTGATTTTATTAAAAATATAGTCGGCCAAAAAAATAATTAATTAATTATAAGATTATGTGTCTTTTAGAAATAGTAAAATTTAAAATTTATTAAGCTTAATTTCTTTAATGCTTATGATTTGTAGTATTTGCCATATTTTTGCTTGCTTGTTTTTAGGGTTAGCAGTTATTGAAGAATAATATTAATTAACAAATACTAATTGGATGAAGGAGTAAATGATCAATGGAACTAATACACATTGGTTTGTTAAATATACTTATGCTCTTTATTTTGCTGTTACTACTATGGTTACAGTTGGTTATGGAGATATTCATCCTGTTAATTTTATAGAAGTTTTATTTACGATTTTTGGAATGTTTGTTAGTTGTGGTGTTTTTGCTTATAGTATTAACTTAATTGGAGATCTTTTTAGGGAATTTAACAGAATGTAAAATGAATTTAAAAATTAAATGACAATTGTAAATAGATTATTAGGTTTTTTTGTTTTGTTTTTTATATATTTTTTAAACAATAAAAAATAGTACAAAAAAATATTAATCCTGATTTAAATTTATAAGTAAGGAAATTTTTTGAATATAAATTTTATGCTGAACCTTAACTTTCAATGGAATAAGAAGAGTAAATAATGTAAAAACTATCAAATCATTTGAGAGAGAAAGTAATTATTGAAACTAATATTTAGATAATAAACTATTGTAAAATAATGAAATAATCTTTTTCTGAAAAAAGTCTGAAATTAATTGCTTTAAAATTATTTGTTAAAAATTTATATATAATTTTAAATAAATAAGTTATTTTCAATATAGGAAATTAGAGTTTCTAAAAATGAAATTATTTTTGAACCAGATACTTATTTTGAAGATCCCTTAATATATATAATAAGTCAAGGTAGTATATAAGCATATATAGAATGTGATAAAAATATAAGCGAAATAGCAATTTTATAAGAATTAAATTAAGGAGAATGCTTTGGAATGTAAAACTTTTTTGCTTTAAACTAAATATCCTATGGCTTCAAAGCGAAAGAGTTTACTATTTTATATGCAATTTAAAAGAGCAAATTTTTATAAATAATACAGAACAATCAAAATGATTATGAAAAATATTGCCTTTTAAAGGATAAAGTTTAGTTTTGTCAAAATTTAAATTGTATAGGAATAAGTTGTTATGGTTGCCATTAAGAGGGACATACAGTATAATTTTGTAACTATTCACATTATATTCCTAATAAAGAAAAGGTGATTTTAAAAGATTTATATTCTAAATCTTAATATAGGATTAAAAGCGTTAGAAAGTAGACTAGGAGAATAAGTACGTTATTAATAACAAAGAAGTTAAAAGAAATCTAAGTTGAGTTTTTAAAAGAAAATCAATTTGATATAGATAAATTTGGTTATACTTATTTAAATGAAAAATTGGATGATAATTCTATATATTTTCACAATCAATAAATAAATAATAAATAAAAAAATGAATAATAAGAATTTATTAATAGTATTGATAACAAGAATTAGAATTAAAATTAAAAATAAACAAATAAATCAATTCTAAGTTTTAGAAAAATATTAATGGAAAACTCAGGTTAAATAACAGGAAGTGATAAAAAAATTAGAAAATTGAATTCAATACAAAATGATGAATATAATCCGAATAAGTTTTCTTTTAATAATATAAATAGTACAGCTTGTTAAATTAATAAAAAAAACTAAATTAAAACTGCTTTGAAAAAAAATATTTTTTTATTAAATAATTATTTTTAAAATACTGAACTATATAGTTAAGATAGTGAAAAACATTAAATAAAAATTTAAGCAATTTATAAAAGAAAAAAAGAATTTTAAGCTTTGTTTAATTTGAAAGGGAATATTCTATGAATTATTATGAAATATTTGACAAAAAGAAAAATTATGAATTTTATTTTCCTTAATATAATTGTCATGAAGTTTTGCAAAAATATGAAAATTATGTTTATTAAATATTACCCAAATATTTTGCAGTTTATTCTTTTTATAAAAGAATTAATAAAAAAGAAATATAATAATTATACTAAAAAAAATAGTAAGAAAGATTGTAATTAACATTAAGGGTATAGTAAAAAATAAGGAGAAGAAAATAATTTAAAAGAAAGGAATAAGGTGTTTAATTTAAAATGTAAAATTCTATAAGTTACAAAATTTAAAAAGAAAATTAAAGTCTATTTGTAACTGGCGTTTAATCAAGATTAAGGGTTAAAAGTAGCTAAAATTAATTTTTAAATAATTATAATTAGAAATAGATTTTGTTTAAAAAATAGAAAAGTATTTGACAATTTAATAGAAATAATATATTTAAACTTTTAATATAAAATACACAAATTATTTATTATTAAATATTTTTTTAAATTTAAAGTGATCAACTATTTAAATATTGATATAATTAATCGATTTAATTTTGTTTTTATTATTTTAAAAATAAATATATAAGCTTTATTTAAATTTTAATTTAAAAAATTTTAACTTAAATAATTTAGATTTTTATTAAGTATTTGTAATTTCAATATAAATCATTATATTTTTATTAAAAATAATTTATATACTAAAAATTAATAATCTTTATATTAAAAAAAAAAAATAATATATCATTAAAATTATTAAAAGTAAAAAATAATTTTTTTTTTATTATATTAAATAAATTAATTATATTAATGTGTAATTTATTATAAAAATGTATTTAAAAATTATAATATTATTTGAATAATTAATAAATATATTATATATTTATATATATTTATTTTAAATAATATTATTTAATATTAAATATAATATTTTATTATTTTATTTATTATTAAAATAATAACTTAAATATTTTTTTTTATAAAATAAATAAATATTTAATATTTTTTTTTTAATTATCTATTTTATTTATAAATATTTAATTAAAATTTAAAAATGCATTTCTTTTTACATAAATATTATAATAGTATTTTTATAATAAATATTATTTCTTTATATTTTCATTATTTATAAAAAAATAAATTATCTTTTTTTAATTATTAAATATAAAATAAAAAATATAATTAATTTTTTTTTTATAAAGTAATTTTTTTATTAATAAATTTGATTAACTTCAAAAGGTATAAATATAATTATATATTGATTGATTTTAATATTTTATAATTATTTATACAATTTGAAATATTAAAAAAAATTATATTTATAAATTTAATATTAAGTTCTTATTTAAATTAATATTATATTTTATTTTAATTTTTTAATACATCGCTATAAAATTTGATAATTTATAATTAATCTTTTTATAATTTTTTAAAATATAAATTATTAAGTTTGCCATCAATTTTTTTATTTTTTTATTTATATATAATACACTTAAAAAAAGAATAAATATAAATTTTAAGCTTATATTATTTATTTTTGTATTAACTTTTACAAAAATTTTTAAATTTATAAATATTTGATGAAAAAATAAAACAATAAACTTTCATTATAAAAAACTCATAGTGATAATTATGAAGAGGAAGATTTTGGTTTTAAATGATATTAAAATTTTTTTAACATATAATAATATCAAATTGATAATAATTAATATAAATTTAATATTTTATACTTTATAATTTTATTTAATTAGAGTTATTTTATGTAAAAAAATAAATGAACAAAATTTTTTAAATCTATTTTTAATATTAATTTAACAAGTATTTATGCATTTTATTGTTTATATTCTATTCTTTAATATTTTTTTTTAGAATAAACTAGATATTTTACTTTTTATTTTTGAAAAATAAAAGATTTTTTAAAAATATTAGATATTTTATTTAGTTTTTTATTTATCTAGCTGATTATTTAATAATTTCATTTTTATTCAATATTTTACATTTGTAAATTAATTTCTTTTATATTATATAAAAGCTAACTTTTGAATATTTAATCATTTTATTATTCTACAAAATTCTTCTCTTAACTTAAAATTTAAGGGCTTTAATTTTGCTAAATAGATGCATTAATTATTTAAAAATTGTTAAATTGTTTTTGGTCTTACGTTTCTGATTTATTAGAAAATTTGCTTTTTTTTAATTTATGTGTGTTTACTCTCATCTAAGAAATTATATTTACGCTACTGCTTTTAACTTATAAATTATCCTAGCTTTTCACGGAAAAATCTATTTCATTATTTTATTTAGTTTATTAATGGATATGATTTTTTTCTGGCTATTTTTTCAAAATTTTTTAAATATATTTAGCTATAAATATAATAATCTTAAATATAGTAAAAAGAATAAGTTTAACAAAATTTAAAAATTAAAAAAAAATATCTACTATTAAGGAAACCATATGCAAAAATAAAATCGCTGAACTAAAACCAATAAGACAATATCCAATACTTATTCTTTCATGCTCTGACTAATCTTCTGGATCGTTTAAAAGCATAAAAACCGTAATTTATATAAATATTAATAATATTTCAGTGATACAATTCCTTATATTATTTATTTTACTAGTATGAGGTTATATTATAAAATAATAAAAACAAATAATTATATTTATAATGCTTATAATTGTTAATTATAAATATGGATAATCTTGAAGAAATATAATAATTGAGATAAATATTAATTTTCTAAAGTAAAGTATACTATTACATTATTTAGTAAGTAAAATTTTATATTTTAAAATTCTTCTTAAAGTTTGTTATTTTTATTTCTCAATGTTTTTTTCTAAATACTTACTATTTTATTCTTCATTGTTTTTTTCCAAATTTTATTCTTCATCGCTTTTTTTCAAATTTTATTCTTCATTGTTTTTTACCAAATTTTATTCTTCATTGTTTTTTTCCAAATTTTATTCATCATTTTTTTGTTCTAAATTTTATTCTTCGTTGCTTCTTTGCTAATTTTATTCTTCATTTTTTTTTAAAATGTATTATTTTTATACTTAATCCGAAGGAGGAAATTCACTTTAATCAAATAAAAGCAATCCTCCTGTAAGGGAAGCAAATTATCTTTAAAATTTTTAATCACTTTTAAGATTCTTTCTTTTATGTATATTAATTGAAAATAAAATAGGAATAATAAATATTGCCAAAGTACAAGCAGAGTGTAAAGTGTAATTAATGAATGCAGTCTCGTCTTCGAAATCAAAATCATAAAATTAAAGAAATACCGAAAAAGCAATATATATATAACATGTAGAAATCAAATCAATAAAGCCACAGTATTCCCATGCATTATCAATTTTATATTAAAAGTAGTTTTTAATTTTTTTTATTTTTACAAAAGTCATAAGTTTGTAAAAAATATAAAAAGGCAGAACTAATGTTATAATAGTAAAACTTTAACCTGCATTTTTAAAAAAATAATAATCCGATTATAAAGCCATGAATATTTCAGAAGAGATTTGTACATAATTTTCATTTACAAAAACTTAATATATATTTGGAATAAAAGCATATTAGAAGTTTTTAAATAAGGCATAAAATTCTATAACATTAAATGGATAGCGAACTTTTACATATAAAAGAAAATAAATCAAACAAGTAATATCAATGCTACTAAAAACTACATATATATTACTAAACAAAACTACCAGAATCATAGATCCAATTAATCCATTAGATATAGATTATCCAAATTGAGCAACTTTTTATGACGTTTCCTTTTGTTCTTAAGTTATTATTATAAAAGATTTTAAATTTAAATTTATTTAATTTTTTTCAATATTGTTAATTTTTATAAATTATTGATTTAATAAATTTATTGTTAATTATTTATTTTTTATACTTTAGGTTGATACAATTATTATTTTTAGGATATTTTATTATTTTAATAATATTTACCATTAAATGTTATAAATTTAAGGAATATATATTTCTATTAATTATTGAAAATTATTAAAATTTTAAAAGATTAACTATTTTTCAAATATCAAATAAATTATATATCCTTAATCATTTACTTCCTACTTAACTTCAAAATGATTCAAAATTTTAGAATTTATTATTTCACAATTACCAGTAATTAGTGAAATTTGATAACCAATTTAACACTAAGAACATTCTAAGTTAGAATTAATTTTACATTATTAACAATTAATGGCCGTGCATTGATTTAAACAATCATCTTTAGAAGGTCCTACACATTAAACACATGAAGTATCACATTTTTAACAGATACTTTTTTAATTTTGATCACCGAAAAAACCTGAAGAACATTAACATTACCCGTTTTTAAAAATATATCCCTTCTAAAATTAGCATTAAATACAAGAATTTTAATCTTTACATTGTTGACAAATAAATTCTCCACTCTCATTAAAACCATCTTTACATACACAATACCCTTAAATAGCTGTTCTATTAGATTCATAAGGACACTCTATGCAATAATTAAAAAAATTAACACATTATTTACATTCAAAAGAACATTATAAACACTAATTTTCTATTTCGAAAAATGAAGGCTTACATTCACAGTTTGAATTTTAAGTATTTAAAGTTCTATTTTATTCATATGAATAGCAGTCAGTACATTAATTTATATTATTTAAACAACTTTTACAAGTATTATTGCATTATAGGCAGTTATTATTAATCTATGTATAACCTTACATACATATACACATATCTTCTTGTAAGATTCGAAATTCTTAATCAGTACTGCATGAAAGACAATTATTTATTAAAGAACCATTACATGTTAAACAAGAAAAATGGCATTATTTACAAATTAAATTGTCTTAATAATATCTTTGAGAACATTCACATTTTTAATTTAAATAATTCAAAACACGATTCTAACTTTCAAAGCAATCTTCACATAAATTACTTTTATATGAGCATTTTTTACAAGTAGAATCACATGGAGAACACTTTTAGCTATCTT